AATCTACAGCCCTACCCAAATGTCAATGTGCAGATGGGCCTCTTGTGCATATGACTTGCCCATTTATCTAACCGGAGGCAGCAGATGCACAGATATAAAGGAACGCATCCCTAGATCTGCCTCAGAATAAAGAGAGCAGCCCTGGCAGGCAGAGGAATGTGAAGCATGCATATCTGATAGCATTATAAGAGGACTTGCTTCTTTTATTTACAGCACTAGACTTTGGGAGCTACAGAAGTCCCTTCCAGCGCAAAACCTTCCTGTGCATGGCAACTCAGAAGGAAGCTTTACTCCCTAGTCAGCATGTTTTAGGATTGCAGCCCATTACAGATATCCCTCAGCACCACAGATTTCAAATGGTGAAATATGGGGGTTTGTTTGGAAATGTTTGAGGGATTGAGACTGTGACTAACCTTGGGCAAGTTGCCACCCTGTTCAGTCTTCCCTTGCAAATGTCAGGAATCTCATTGTGTTCAAGAGCACATGGCAGATTCACATGGGCTGCTGCTGTCTGTCAATGTCTATGTTCTGCTGCCACTGTTGAGGGCAGCAACCTCTGAGTACCAGTTGCCGGGAATCGCAAGTGGGGAGAATGCTATTGACCCCTGGTCTGCCTTGCAGGCTTCTCATGGGCATCTGGTTGGCCACTGTGAGAACACGATGCTGGACAAGATGGAGCTTTTCCTGATCCAGCAGGGCTCTTATGTAGCAACATGCAACAGAGTCCTCTAAAACACAAAGGGGACCTGTGGCTGATGCAAAGGGATTTCTCAGTGGATGAGTTAATATGGAAAGTATTCTTTGAAAAAAGAAAGCTCCCAAACCCCTGCAACCCAATCCAAAGATATGATTACAGTGGTGTCAGGGAACTGCCATCGCAGCCAGGAGTGGAGGAAGGGCTCCCAAGCGATGCCGGAGAAGGTCCCAGCAGGGAAAGAGGGGACTCAGCGACCGGGGAAGGAAATCAGCGTTACACCAGGGAGAAAGGCGGGCAGAGGCGGGCTTCGGAGAGATGGCTCCAGGACTCTTCGCCAGAGACCAGCGGGGAGAGCACGGGTCCTCCACTGCCCACACCCACCCTGCGCAGAAGACTTCCGCGCAGGAAGGCTAGGCGGAGACTATCCGTCAATGAACTTTTATGTTGGAAGAAGTTCAGGAAACGCCCACTGACGGATTCTGCCAGTGACTGAGACAGACGCGGAATCACGACTGTCCAGCCAGGGAAAGGTTTATCCAGGCAACCTCGCTAAGAGTGGCGGCAACTTACGCACGAGCAACCCCCAATTCCCATTACAAGTGGTATCTCTGGTTACGTACTTAATTTGTTCTGGAGGTCTGTTCTTAACCTGAAACTGTTCTTAACCTGAAGCACCACTTTAGCTAATGGGGCCTCCCGCTGCTGCCGCGCCGCCAGAGCACAATTTCTGTTCTCATCCTGAAGCAAAGTTCTTAACCCGAGGTACTATTTCTGGGTTAGCAGAGTCTGTAACCTGAAGCGTATGTAACCTGAAGCATATGTAACCCGAGGTACCACTGTATTAATTAGTACAGTATTAATTCCACTGTCCCATCTTTTCCACAGACCAGGACTCAAGGCGGCTTACACAAAATTAAAACAACACAGATAAAATACGGAAAGCTAACAACATATAAAAGATAAGAGTTAAAAAGCAATGACATTATAATGGAATTTAAATGATACAAAAACAAATCTATTAAAATAACGGATGGTAAGAACAGCACAGCATTATTAAAAGCCCTTTCCTTAACAAAACCGAGAGCCCGTGAGAATGAAGCGGATAAAAATATGGCATTCAGTTCACCCTGAGAGAGTGGCGGATGCCGCCTTGTTGTGCAGGAACAAGATGTGCAAGTTCCTTGCGCTTCCTGTTCTCCCACAGCAACATTGTCTGAAACAGAAGCCTTTTGCATCTCCCCTGCTGGCAAGATGTGAAGGTTATACTCTGGATGGGATGTTGTCGTGGAGGAAGAGGGAACATGGGAGACCTGCACACCCTGTTCCTGTGCCGGAAGGCAATGTGCATCTCTCTCAGGGTCAAAATGAACCTTCAAAGCTTGTCTGGGTTAGGAATGGGGCAGAAATTTGATCTGTTAATGGTGAATCAACTTCATTCAAACTTTCTGAAGTAATATGCAAATTGTGATGCAACCATCCTTCACAATTCACATTTATTCAAATTTTGCCATGCAGTTCTCCAGCCAAGTGATGTGCAAAAAAAGAAGCATATACTAAGTAAAGTGTGCATTAAAAAAGCATTGGGGAAATGAAACACCCAAATGCATCTGGTCAGCCACTGTGAAAACAGGGTGCTGGACTAGATGCAGGCTTGTCTTAGGTTGTTGTGTATTGTATTGGGGAAATTGCTTTGCAAAAAAAATGTGCAGATTAGGAAAAATTCACACTGAAATGTTGATGACTTTTCATAAGAGCTTTTAAAAATGCAAACTGATGTGAAAGTGTGAAGAACTTTAAGGCTGGAAAAATGAGAAACAGAGAGAAACAGAAACTCTGAGAGATTCACCAGTTCCTAGTAGTGTATAGCAAAAAAAAAAAAAAAGTTTATTGTTTCTCTATAACATTCTACTGACGTAAGAACACAGACAGTTGCCTTGCACCAAGTTAAACTATTTGCCCACCTCCTGTGATTGGGAGTAGCTCTCCAGAAACTTGAGCAAAGGTCTATCACACCACCTGCTCCTTTAGTACTGGAGATCCCTGGGATTAAATGTGGTTTCTTCTGCATATGCCCTCCCACTGAGCTATGGTTCTTCCCTCATACAGACCGAGCTTGTAACAGACCCTTCACCATAGGCCAGTTTACTTGGAAGAATAAACCACTTGTCTCCCTCTCTCTCACACACAGCTTCAGCTCTTAGCTACACACGTCACGCTGTCCCTTCGACATGGGTGGTTTCACCTTCAGATGCTTTGATCTGCATGTTCATTCATGTCACTTAACTGCACGCACAAAACTTTTCTGCACTGAGGGAAAGAGAAGCAATTGTTAACAAAGCCATGATCCACAGAGACAAATTTCCAGATAAAAGAGCGACTCTCTTCTTTGTGTCAAAAGTCAGGTCGGAAGAACCTTGGTACTTCAGACATTTAACAGTGGTTGGGGGGAAAATGACACATGAAGCAATAGGCTTCCTTCTTGATTTTCTTTTTTTATTTTAAATCAAAGCCCTCTTTTAGTTCTCGGAATCTTCTGCTGAGGTAAAAACGCTATTAAACATTCTGACGGTCAAGCTTTTGGTTTAGAGAAAAGGCGAGTAAGAGGTGACATGATGGCAAAGTGTATAAAATTATACAGGGCATGGAGAAAGTGGATGGAGGGAAATAAATTCTTCTCTCTCGCATAACACTAGAACTTGTAGCCATCCAATGAAAGTGAATGCTGGAAGATCCAGGACAGATAAAAGAAAGTACAGTGGTACCTCGGGTTAAGAACTTAATTCGTTCCGGAGGTCCGTTCTTAACCTGAAACTGTTCTTAACCTGAAGCACCACTTTAGCCAATGGGGCCTCCTGATGCCGCTGCGCCGCCAGAGCACGATTTCTGTTCTCATCCTGAAGCAAAGTTCTTAACCTGAGGTACTATTTCTGGGTTAGCGGAGTCTGTAACCTGAAGCATATGTAACCTGAAGCGTATGTAACCCGAGGTACCACTGTACTTGTTCAGACAGTGAAATTAAAACTATGGAACTCACTCCCACAGAAGACAGTGATGGCCACCGACTTGGATGACTTTAAAAGAGGATTAGACAAATTCGTGGAGGATACAGCTATCAATGGCTACTAGCCACAATGGTTATGTTCTACCTCCACTATCAGAGGTGGCATGCTCCTGAATATCGGTTGCTGGAAACAGGAGGGGAGACTAATGCTCTTGTGCTCAGGTTCTGCTTGCAAGCCTGTCCACTCTGTGAGAACAGGATGCTGGGGGAGAAGGAGCCTTGGCAGACTCTCCTTATGTTCTCAAACCAGTGACCCCAAACTTCTGGATAAGATTGTGTTATGTACTGAAGTTCTCACCCTGGGCCAGCAGGGGGATACTGTAGATAGTTTTCACTCAGGTCCACATATGCAAATAAGGAATTGAAAGTGACGTTCAGTGATTGGATAGTTACAGAAAGTGGTTACTGTTGCATTGTAGTTGAGCTCTATATAAGCAGGTTGGCTGAACCCTTCAGCCCAGTTCTGTTCTGGGCCTATGAATGAACAAGAGCTGTTTGAAGAATCGCTGTGTCGTCTGATATGTTCACCCACAACTTAACAACTGGGACTGAAAGACTAAAGGAAAGCCTGAGTACACGGAGGCTGAGTGTTAAGCAACAATACTGTGTTAGACCATATAATTTTTTATTGCTTACAGGGAAGTTAAATTGGGTGACTTTACTATTTCTTTTCAGTGCATGAGTACAGTAAATCAAATGTTTGTGCCTCAACTCATTCTAGTAGACCACTTGGGTCTTGTTTTTTTAATCCCACATTCCAAATCAGGTTCACATTTCCTTGCATTTGATGGAGGGAGTCTGTGATCCGAGGGACCTCGTGCCATTTTTTATCTTTTTTTAAGGCGCCACAAAATAAATGTCGCAGTTTCATGGAAGGTTGTGACCGATCGATTGATGGCTATTTGCACACACACACACACACACGAACAAATGTAGGCAGCTGCACTGGTCCATTAGAAATAAAAATTCCACAGCAACACTCATGCATGCCGCAGAATTAAATCGCCTAATAGACCGTAATTCTGCGGTTTTGCAGCGGACCCGTCACACGTCACCGTTCCCGCCCACCTAGTACGGGAGGCTGCTAGGCCCCGCCCACATCCCCTTCTCGCTGCGACGTCGACGCGTTCTACCTCTGTTACCGCGGCAACCAGCTGCTTCCCCCCCTCCCATTCTGACGCCAATCCGCGGCGTTCGAAGTGTTGTTATCGCGAGAGACGAGCGGGCTCGGTTTCCTTCTTTCCTCCAGCCTTTGGACCTCGAAGAGAGGGGCGTGGCTATGCAAGCGAAGTGGGCGGAGGCTTCCGGCGGGGTTTGGCACTGACGTGGAGAATCCAGGGGGAGCCTCTGGGGCTTGACAGGTAGAGGAGGCGAGGAGAAAGCCAGCAGGTGGATGCGGATGCTGAGCTCGAGGCAGGCGCTTCCGGTGAGGGGAAAAAGCAGGGCGACCCCCCCTCCCCCCACCAATAATAATAATAGAAATAATAATATCCCCCTCTTTCTTAAGGGTTGTAAAGGGGAACTCGGACGGTCCCTGTGGGAAGGAGAGCCTCGCAGTTCCCCCCCAAGCCTACCCCGTAAGGGCTGTTGTGAAGAAAAAATAGGGATGGCATCATGTAGCTATTGCTGGTTTTTGTTATTATTAACCACTGTTGGTAGTATTGTGATGTTTGGAAGAATGTGATGTTTAAATAAAATTCATTTTCTAGGCTTTTCACACACACACACACAAGCAATGTTAGATAAGTAAAAACTAAATTTCTCTAGTGAAAGCAGACTTCTCTCTCTGTTAGGTATATGAACCAGGCCAAAAGGTAGAGCAATACAGTCATGCCTGAGCTACAGAAAGTATCCATGCTGGGACATGAATTTAGAATTCTGTGCTTAAAAAACTATGGGAGCCGTGAAATGATAAAACAAAGAAAATGGTCTGTTCTGTTATTGTACGGCATCCATTCTGTGCATTTCGGAGGAACTGCCAACCAGTCAGAGCTGATTCAGATGTTACGTTTAGATGGGGAAGCATAGTTTATGCCATGGCACTGACATGGTACTTACCTGCAGTGAGATTTAGGTGCTCTGGAGCACTTTATTAATTTATTTAATACTGTTTTTAGACTGCCCTACAGCCAAAGTTATCTGGGTGGTTTACAGGCATTAAAACCAACAAAAATGAACAAACAACAACATACAACCAGAATAATGTCACAAAGTCACAATTCACTTTAAAACAGCAGCAGCAAATCAGTTTAAAACTGAAGGCAGAGAGCTTTCAGAGGTAGCAAGTCAGGTGATGATGGGGTTTTTTCCCTCTCCTTTCCAGGTAGTTTGGAGCAGTCAGAGTCTCCCACAAGAAACCATCAATAATTTGGAACCATGTTTGCAGACTTGGACTATGACATTGAAGAGGACAAGCTGTAAGTGTCTTCTTTTTTTCTTTTTCTTTTCTTTTTCCTCAGTAGGTTTGTATGTATATATGTTTTTTTTTTCCAGGAAAAAATGAGCTGTTCAGGTAAAGAATTAGTACTGTCAACTTTTTGGACTGCACCCACAGAATTTGGGTTGGAAAAAAGTGGAATGAGCACCCTAAAAAATAACCCTGAATATCCTTAGAGGGTTGAATTTAGAACTAATTTGCATATGACTTGGTTTGGGGGCTTAATTCAGTTCATAAGGACATATCTCCTACTTGGGTTGGATACTATGATTTTAATTTTATGAGAGAACAGGAATGAGGGTTTGTATCTGGAAAGGAATACATGTACTAGAAGGAGAAGGTATTGTTATTACTCTTATGTATGTAAACACATAATACGATTTTCCTTTCTCTGATAATATAATTACTGTGTTTCACGTGTGTTATGTTTCTTATGTGATCATTGCTGTCCCAATATATTCTACAATACATTCCAAAAGCAGAGATGACACGTTGATGGTGGCATCCACTTTTATGCAAATTTCTGTACCTCTGTTTTATTCTAGGGGGATTCCCACTGTGCCTGGAACAGTGGTCTTGAAAAAGGACTCTCAAAATCTGATTGGTATCAGCATCGGGGGAGGAGCTCAGTACTGTCCCTGCCTCTATATAGTTCAGGTTGGTGTTTTTAGGAGAGGAGTGTTTTATCCTAGGGAAAAGAAGGACAGTTAGGGTTGCACTGAGGGTGAGATTGGACCACACAGTTTTGAGCATAGTGTAATTCTCAGTTCCATTGGACTTCCGCCAGCAACAGCCTTACACATAAATGCAAAAACATTGTCTCCCAATGCCTTTCTGTCTGTCACAGAGCAACTTGAGTGGCAGATTTGGCAAGTTAACTGTATTGGTCTGTTGGTCCGTTGTTATTTGCTCTTTTCCTCTTTAAAATACTTCATAGACTTGTAAAGAATTATATTATTAAGTTTACTGAATTTCATGTGTGTGACCTAAAAAGAAATCCTAAGGGGAAATCTCATGGTCCAGTGAGAGCTGTGAACATATCCAGCATTTTTCACCTGCAAGGGATGTGTCGCAAGTGACACTAAGGACATTTTCCCAATATCTAACAAATTTGAATTTTTGACCAACACAAATGTGAAGAACAGCCATTTTTAATTTGATATTAGGCTGTTTAATTTGGGTGATCCAGCAAATATGTGAATAGATGGGATCATGAATATGTTTTTTATTGGTCTCCAATATTAGTTTTTCACCATAGGGAAATGCAGATTCAGAGGTATCCCTCCTGTGATAATGGTGTTTCTGTAAGTCGGGGGGGGGCCATTTGATCATGATAGTGTGTGCAACAACAACATTCATGAAATTAATGTGAGTGAAAACTCTGAGGTTTAAAGACTTTTTATAAATAATATGAGCAAAGGGGCATGAAAACAGACGTGCTGCCATTCTGGTTCCTTACTCCCGTCTTAGCCTTTTTCCTGCTTTCACCTTCACTGTGTCTTCCTCTTCAGGTATTTGATAACAGTCCTGCAGCTCAGGATGGAACTTTGGCAGCTGGTGATGAAATCACAGGTGTGAATGGGAAGTCAGTCAAAGGGAAAACCAAAGTTGAAGTGGCCAAAATGATACAGGTGGTGAAGGTGAGAGGTAGGAAGGGGTTTCTGGAATGCAAAGTGTCTATTGTTGCTTTTTAGTGGAAGCCGTCTCCCTTCCTCTCAATTGCAGAACAATAGCTCTGGCTTTTCCTATTCCAGGGAGAAGTGACGATCCATTACAACAAACTCCAGGCTGATCCGAAGCAGGGAAAGACATTAGATATTGGTATGTCGTGCCGACCTCTCAGTCTCCCTCGTAATGCTGATGTAATAAACAGGACTGGCTTTTCTGTGGCATTTCTTTTATAATTAGCCCAGTTATGATTTCCTCTTCATTGGGCTTCTTCTGTCTGACTAGATATAATAGTATAATTGCTGTGCTATCGGCATAGAGAAATGATTCTGTTCACAGAGTGTGTTTCTTTCCTGGAATATAGTGCTGAAGAAAGTGAAGCACCGCCTGGTAGAGAACATGAGCTCAGGGACAGCAGATGCCCTGGGACTGAGCCGAGCCATCCTCTGCAACGGTAAGCAGCATTCAAGGAGGACATTCACACTTGGCCTCTGTGACTGTTCCAAGCGATGCCAAGGACCATGTTCGCATTCTCACACACTTACAAAGTGTGTGTTGTCCTGAAAGTGGCCTTCTGCATTGGTTCATAATTTTGTGGCATTGGGAGCTGGGCTAAATAATGAGATAATAATGTGAACCAGAAAGTCCTCGGTTCAAATCTCACCTCCATCGGCAGCCTACTCTGTCTTAGATAGATAGATAATATTTATTACGGCCATAGGCCCATACAGGTAAAAACAACACATAAGTGACAGCTTGTGCCGTGGGGAAAAGAAAAAACAGTCGCTAAAACACCACTATAACAATAAATACTATAAGATGGAAAGGCATGCTACGCCTTAATTAGCTTGTAGCGCTCCTTGGCGTCGCTTTTGGGAGAGGACAGCGACCAGGAACCTAGCCACACTCTGTCTTAGCCTTAGCCCCTCATCTGCAGTGTCGGCGTAATAATACTTCCCCTTACCTACAGGATTGCTGTAAAGATTAATGAGATAACATGTGTGAAGTACTCTAACATTTCATTGTGCTATATCACAGGCTGTCAGTGAAAGTTGGCAGAAATTTGATGAACTGGAGAATCCAAATACAGTATTCTTTCTCCTGAATTTGTGAAAAGATGTGTGATTTCAGGACCCTCTCCTTCAGCACTAGGCAGTCTTTTCCTGCACTAAAGTCTTTCTGACAACTTTTCTCTTCCTCTTTCTCACTTGCCTCACCACTGCTCAAACTTTTGGTAGTTTGCTCTCTGGACTTCACTGCTTTGTCATTCTTCATTCTCTTTTCTAGGTGGCATGAAGAGGGTTGCCTTTCTCTTCACAGCATATACACCCGCACTTCCACATTTGTTTGTATGTGACTTGATGCCTGTTTCGTAAATCTGTATCATGAATGCGCATTTGTGAAAGCTCTGACAATGGGAACCCTAACTAGAGGATTTCAGCTCTTATGGCATCAAACTCTCATTGTAATAATGGATTCCTACCCTTTTCCCTGGTTCTCTCTCTCTCTCTCTTTGGTAGATGGGTTAGTAAAAAGACTGGAAGAGCTGGAGAGGACCGCAGAGCTATACAAAGGTAAATAGACATTTTCCTTCCTTATTGTGAAACGTAGAAAGGGGTTTGTGTCTTGGGGCTTATGTTGATCATTTATTGAAGGATTGAATGCTTTGAGAAACATATCTCACCCTCACGGCCGATAAGCTTTTAAGGTTTCAACCCAGGAGGCTACCCCTGATATATGCATAGTAGATAAGAGACAAGATTTATTTTCTTTATTAGATTTATATCCTGTTTTTCCACCACTTAAATCTTTAAGAGGGCTTGCAGAGTTTTTTTCAATGGGGACAGGTAAATATTTCACCCTAGGACAAACCAACAGACACCCTTATCCTATACAAGATGGTCAATAACCTTTGGGTTACCACAGTTTTTTGCCTTGGTGTTGTTGGTAGGGCAGAGAGTAAATCCTTCCAAGAATCACTTGCATGTCCCTGCATGCGCGTGCACACACAAACCAACCCAGGAGCAGAGCAGTTAATGACATCCAGGCCAGGCTCTTGCCACACAGTCTTTCCTGCAGGCAGTCTCACTGACAAGAACCAGCATAGGCTACATTTTTCTCATGGTACGAAAGGTGACGTCAGTGGAGATCCCCCCAACCACACTTGGTCTTTGTTTTCTTTTCCCAAATGCCTGCTTTGGTGCTAATGTCCTATATTTAAAAGTAATTATATCCCACTCCATGTCCATAGTGAATGTTTTGTTTTTTCCCTCTAACTCTGTCTAGGCATGACGGAACACACAAAGAGTCTCCTCAGAGCTTTCTTTGAACTTTCTCAAACTCACAGAGGTAAACATGGAGCAGAAGACTTTCAGGTTGTGACCAAATCATGGCACATGCTTCTCTGGGCAGGAAATCTCTCATCTTAGATCTTGAAAATGCTATAATTGTCATCCAAGACAATTATGAGAACTACGGGTCCTAGTGCCAGTAGCTTGTAAAGTTTGGGATTTGCTTCTCTCAAGTGTGTGTGCTGACAGGTAAAAAAAATCCTTTTGAGCTTCTCTTCTGCTATTGGCCTGCAGAAAAGCAGTTTAAAGTGCACCTGTATCAGGTGCTCAAATCAATAGACGTGCCATTCCAAAAGATGGGCTTAGAATCTTATTTCAACCAATATGAATTGTTTGTGTCACCTGTGGACATATGCATTCGAGGCTCCACCCCTGTTTGTGCTGCTCACCACCCTGTCTACAACCCTCCCCCAGCAAAAAAAACCCACCTTACACCAAAACCTACACCACCTAGACCTTGACTACCCCCCATAACTCACTAGATGATCAGGGGGTTTTCATAAACTGCTTGGAGGAAAGCCTTGCCAATTTCACTGGAGAGCAGGGAGCATCATGAAGCAAATGACTGAAAATGGTGGGCTTGGAGGATACCAGTTGGGTTGCAGCCAAGTCTAATCTCAGAGCAGTATGGGCCTCCATTAAGGGTAGGTAGGTGGGGCAGTGTCTTCTGACCTTGCTGGCAGGGCTGTGGTGATATTTGAAGTAGTAAAAGCATGGTGTTTATACTACGGTAACGATCATGAACTGAAATGAGGAAATAGTCCAGAAGCCAACAAGCCAAATACATGTTTTGCTATTTTTGCCCAGCATTTGGTGATGTTTTCTCGGTCATTGGTGTACGGGAGCCTCAACCAGCTGCAAGTGAAGCCTTTGTGAAATTTGCAGATGCCCATCGCAGCATTGAGAAGTTTGGAATCCGCCTTCTAAAAACTATCAAGCCGGTAAAGAAACATAGAATTGTAGAAGTTTGTAGGGTTCATCCAGTCCAATCCCTTCAATGCAGGAATCTTAGCTAAAGCATTTGTGGCAGATGGCCATACAACCTCTGCTTAAAAACCTCCAGTGAAGGGGGAGTTCTTCACCTTCCAGGGAATGTCTGGGCTATTTTACAGAGACTAAGGCAACACTGCGAACCACCCTGAGACCCCCAGGTATAGGGCGGTATATAAATTCAATTAAAAATAAGAATAAGAATAAATGGTTTGCAGTCTCCTTTGGAGGGCAAAAGTGAGGTGAGGCAGATAAGGCTCAATAAAAGGGGTAACAGTGTTGGATGACAAAGGATGGCATTAGGCCTGTTGTAGTACAGCTCTTTACTCACTGTTATGTGGGGCTTTTCATCTAGCTCTGCTTGTCTGCTCTCTCCACATCACCTCTCCCAGCTAGGCAGGGACACATCAAGGTCCATTAAAACAGAGGAAGCCAGATATGGGGTAGTGGTGGGGGAAGGGGGGCTCATAGACCTGGAATGCCTTGAACTAAGACAGGGGTGTAGGTGGAAGTGGCAGAAGGGTGCTAATTCTACGTGGCTTTGGATCGGACCAATAACAGGAGTGGTGAGCAGAGCCTCCCTCAGATTGGCTAATAGATGTGCCACAAATGTCGCATCAGGTCCTCTTAAGTGAGAGGGAGGCTCCGTTGTGCATCAAGTGTTTTAACTATGCTGAGAGCTGACGGAAGGGTTGACATTCACAGATCACATCCACTTCTTGAGATTACTAGGCTTGTTGCATGCAGAAGAACCTTTTCTGCTCTGTTTGGTCCTACATTTTTCACCGTTCAGCCTTTCCTTACAGATGCTGACTGACCTGAACACTTACCTGAACAAGGCCATTCCTGACACAAGGCTAACTATCAAGAAGTATCTGGATGTCAAGTTTGAGTATTTGGTAAGCTGTTCATTTGCTTTTGTTAAGAATGCTCAAGAGGGTGGTCAGCATAGCCTGAAATACTGACACTAGTGGGTCCCAGGTGTTCTGGCAGTAGTGAACAAGGAGGAGCAATTACAGAAGGATCTGTTTGCTCACTCAGGCTTACTAAATGGTAAGTCACGGAAACATTCAGAACAAGTAGACATTTCATGCAAGAGACCTACCGATGGCTTTGCCTTACACTCCCAGGTCAGATATATCAAGCCAAGGGAAACTGGCAGCACCAGAAAACAGAACACAGCTTGTGTGATCGGATTGTAGTAGCATTCACAGCATGCTGTTGGTAGCTAGACAGGGTGCTGTTTCTTTCAGGTCTGCTCATTTTCCTGTTTTAAAATAAAAACAAGAGCTAGAAGAAGACCCAAGGGGATAGGACAAGGCCCCAGTGCAAACCAGTAGCACCATACAAATATGTACCATTCCACAGCTGCAGCGGGTATGTCTTCCTGGCAGCAGTTCCATCACAGCATGAATGTTGAGACCTAAGAACTAGCTTTGAATAGGACATGTTTTCTCGTATTCAGGCGCAAATCTTAAAGGTAAAGGTAAAGGTACCCCTGCCCGTACGGGCCAGTCTTGACAGACTCTAGGGTTGTGCGCCCATCTCACTCAAGAGGCCGGGGGCCAGCGCTGTCCGGAGACACTTCTGGGTCACGTGGCCAGCATGACATAGCTGCTCTGGCGAGCCAGAGCCGCACACGGAAACGCCGTTTACCTTCCCGCTAGTAAGCGGTCCCTATTTATCTACTTGCACCCGGGAGTGCTTTCGAACTGCTAAGTTGGCAGGCGCTGGGACCGAGCAACGGGAGCGCACCCCACCGTGGGGATTCGAACCGCTGACCTTTCGATCGGCAAGCCCTAGGCGCTGAGGCTTTTACCTACAGCGCCACCCGCGTCCCAGGCGCAAATCTTACTTCTGTTTAATTTCTTTTCATTCCCTCGGCTTGGGCAATCAGTAAAGAAGAGAGGTTGTGAAATACCACCACCTTTCTTTTTCAGGGTTTACATCTCTCTGATCTTAGTGTGTGATTTCTCCTCATTGCCAAGCCTGACCATTGAGGACGCAGCACACTGTTACTTTTTGACACATGCGTCCATTCACTGTTTTTCTTTTTGTTTATTGACTGTGGTCTCCCTAGAATAAGTTCCTACACTAGCATGTGCCTGTTTCCTCTTCCTATGTCCTGGGAACTGTAGTTCATTAAGGATACTGGGAACTGTAGTTCTATGTGGGGTAAGATTTGTTGGGTGCTTTCAATGCATGGTGTGTGCACAGCCACCATTGGAAGAAATGTGGAACTTGGAGAAATTAGAAGTGACAGTTCTGTCCATCCCCACTTAAAAGCACATCCCAATCTGTCTGTCTGGATGGTAGGAGTAGTTTGTAACATTGGTTATTTCTTATTCCCTTTCAGTCTTACTGTCTCAAGGTGAAGGAGATGGATGATGAGGAATACAGCTGCATTGTAAGTACTGAGCACTAGCATGCACAGTGGTTACATCCCATCATAGTCCCATCTTTGCTTGTGGGCGCTCCTATTGCCTGCTTGCCTGCTTCCACAGACTTAAATGCAGGGGTGAGTGTACTATGCTCATGCTCACCAAAGTGGCGTTCTTCTGAATCTTGCATTGATGTGCAGATTGACACTATTTATGACAGTTCCCCCCAACTCTAAATTGTGGCTGAGGGGAAGTCAGTTTATGAACTAAGATTAGAACTTACTTCAAGCGCTGTGGTCATTTGTACCTTGCCAAGCAAGCAGCTAACAGAATGTATAGCTTTTAATGTTTGGCTGTTGGCCAGCCAGGGTTGCAGCATGATCAAGTGAGAAGCTTAAGTTTGGCCGGGCACATTAGGGAAGCATTTAGCTATACATGAAGCCATTGCACGATTTGTGGTTGGTTGCTACATTGATGTCGTATTTTGGGCAGGCGCTGGGAGAGCCTCTCTACCGAGTCAGTACTGGGAATTACGAATACCGCTTAATCCTGCGTTGCCGCCAGGAGGCACGGACGCGCTTTGCCAAGATGCGGAAGGATGTGCTAGAAAAGATGGAGCTGCTAGACCAGAAACACGGTGAGTGGAGTTGCCTTTTCCAAAGACTAGTTTGTAGAGACTCTGAGGTCTACAACTCCCGTCATCCCTGACCATTGGCCATGCTGGCTGGGGCTGGTGGGAGATGGACTCCAACAACGTCTGGAGGGCTGCAGGTTCCCCACCCCTGCCCTGCAGCCAATAATGTTCACCTGCCATCAAGCATGCCACTACTTCTTACCTGAGGCTGGCTGTGTCCTTCCCCACCCTGTCTTGAAGTACACCAGCTGTTCAGCCAAATGTGCCATTGCTCCAGTGCAGGGATGGGTAACTGGCAAACCAAGATCCAGATGTTTTATGAGCCAGCAGCTGAGCCAAGATGTAAAGAACAATGTTGGTCTTCACAGGAAACACACCCAAATTCTGGACCTTTATTTCACTCTAGTTGTGACTTTTCCAGATCTCTGTGTGTGTAACAGATAGAAACTTATTTGCCTGCCTTTGCTGTAGTGGGATAAGAACGTTAATGTCGCTGGAACTAGAAAAGCAGAGGGATATTTCAGAGTGACTTTAGGACATCAGACATACAGTGTGGAGGGAGGTTGAATTGGAGAGGTGTCTTTGTTCTGGGGGAGCTCTCTGAGGTGAAGCTGAAAGCATAGAACACTGTGATGTGTGATTTTTTTTAAAAAAAAACTTTTCTTTTTTTAAAAAAGTGACCTTAGAGCTTAAGGAGTGTTGAGCAGCATGAACAACTGTGTCCTTGTTTAGGAGGAAGGGTGGGGGGAGATACACACAGGAGCACCTTTTCAAAATGTTGTATCCAGTGCTTATTTTTCTAGAAAAAGAGGTGGCAGAATGCCTCCCTTGTTCTCTTAGATTGCCAATGGTGGCCCCTTGAGACATGCCGGAACTTAGTTCCGGATGGAAAAAAAGCCCTGGTTGTATCCCATAACAACACAGTAGGGTCAGGTATAATAAAATAATAAATAGCTCGGTGGTGGAGCTGCTTCCTTTTGAGACCCCTGCACCTTGAGATCTCTCCCATGTATGTCAGCTTACCTTCCTTTTGTCTATAAACAACTGCTGACTCTGCTTGGTTGAATCGATCCATTCTGGATCCTTCACTTTGCAGTGCTGTATATATTAGACCAGGAAGTTATATCCATTGAGTTCCAAAAAGCCTATTTCCAAGGGCTTGCTCTTGGTTCCACAATATTTGGCATTTAGGCCTTTTACTTTAAACAGTAAGTAGCATTTGAACTCATAAGCCAGGCTGCCAAAAACAAGGGTTGCAGTAACTGTGAGGAATCTGTAAGTTGGGTGCCGGCTTCCTTCACACGTGCTGCACCACCCCTTAACCGTTGTCTGTCCTCTCTTGCAGTGCAAGACATTGTGTTCCAGCTCCAGCGCTTTGTCTCGACCCTTTCCAAGTACTATGATGACTGCTATGCGGTGCTGCGGGATGCTGACGTTTTCCCCATCGAAGTGGACCTGGCACGTACCACGCTGAGCTATGGCCAGAAGGATGTCTTCACAGATGGTGCAGAGGATGAGGACGAAGAGGAAGGTTGCGGAAGCCGCGAGTGCAACAGGAAGGAGGAAGAGAATGGCGAGAAGCTCATTGACGATGCCTGAGCTCATGGACTTGATGGAGTGGGAAATACCTTCAGAGACTGATAAATTCTATTTCTCTAGGCAACTTGTCCACATTGACTTTTTTTGTCTGTATAAGCCCAGTCGGGGAATCAAGATTCCTGTTCTGGATGTGGGCAGTGGGGGTGGGCCTTGTGCCGAAAGTGCTTTTGCACAATCCCTCTTTCAGAAAACCCTTTCCTCCTTCCTTGTCTCTCTTTCCCCCAAAGCTTACTTCCCATCCCTGGCAGTGGCAGGAAAGAGACAACTACCTGGGAGAACACCCTTGAACCTCATCCCATGGTGGCTCTCTGTGCAGAGGGATTGTGACTGGATGTGCAGGACACACACAAACAGACCCTTTCATTAACTAAAATGTCAGAAATGGTTCTTGTGGTCAGCCTGGCCTCCTTGTGCATCAGCTAAGTCCAAAAACTTGTCCCCATTCCTGCTTTCCAGTGTGTGAGAAGAATGGAAGTGGATAAGTTTGGTCTCCTTCCTTCTTTCTCTTAACTTACCTTGCTGTTAGTAGGCGGGTCTTACAACATGCCCCTTCCCTACTACTAGGCATGGCTCTTATTAGACAAGAAAGGAATCAGGGTGAATGGGAGCTGGGTGAAGCCAGAACGATCAGCCTCTGAGAGACTAATCAATAAAGGGCATCGGAAGGACATCCAGGAGAATCAGTTTTTGTCTCTATCATTCTTCTCATCAGGATCAAGTCATTATGGACCAGCAATATGGGACTTGACACTGGGGAGAGATTACCCCGGTTTACATTCCCAATCCCCACTGGTTTTAAGGATCTCACAGCCTGCCTTTTACACTATCTTGCATAGGTGCTTTGCTGCATGAAGTTTTCTAAAACTTAAGCCTTATATAGTATTTAAGAAGGTGTTAGATTTGGAAAAAAGCAAACATATCTTGGGGTGGGGGAATGATTATCCGTGGAATGAGGCCCATAGATTTGCTGAGGTTAAAGATCAAACAGCCAGTTTAAGCATTAAAGCTCTCAATTCCCACACTGCACTTTCATTACACCTACACATTTACTTTTATTCCTTTTGAAATGCTGCTTTGAGGACAGAGAGCTATTATGCGCCTTGACCAGTGTCCGCTCCCCCCTCACTCGCCCACATGAATCTCCCGACACCAAAGGAAGAGGGGTGGGGAGAGAATGCTTGTTTGTTTTCTGAGGAATTATTCCAATCCTGTATCATTCTGATATTTTTTAATGCAATGGAATGGCATTTTGTCCTGATTAGCAAGAGTGATCTTTTGGTAATAAAGGGGTGTTGGTTTCAGCTTAACTCTTACGTAGATTGTGCCAACTGGCAAGGAGAGAAGCTACAGAAGAGCTTAAAATTTATGACATATATGCTTTCCCCTTGGTTTTTTATTTCTGTTGTGTTGTCTCTTTCTCTATGACTGGCCAAGAAAAGACCAGAGCGCTTTTATGGGTTGAACTGTGTGACTAATAAAGAAAAATGTGAACTTTGTTGTCTTACCTTTTTCCTCCTGGCTTCTTAAACATTTGGCTTGTCTCTCCTTGATCCTTTTGTTCCTGGTCACAGGAAGAGACATGAAGGGCAGGCACTATTGATCAATTTTGCAGTCGGAAAGTATGGCACAGAGACCAGTGCAGTTGCACTTCTCCATATACAGTGGTACCTCGGTTCTCAAACGGAATTCCATTCCAGAAGCCTGTTCGGCTTCCAAAACATTCAAAAACTGAGGCACGCCTTCCCATTGGTTGCAAGAGCTTCTTGCACTCAGCGGAAACTGCGTCACACATTCTTGTTCCAAAAAATGTTTGAAAACGGAAGTATTTACTTCCGGGTTTTCGGCTTTCAAGAACCGAAACATATGACAACGGAGGGGTTCAGGAACCTAGGTTCCACTGTATAGGACTGTCCCTTGGCTTAAAGTTCAGATCATCCCCTTCCAGATCAGGCATTCACCTAAGGATTGCTGTGCAACACCTTTCACTGGCTTAAAAGTTACATATATATTCTTTCAAATAGAACCAATGTGCAAAGGTAAGAGACCCCTGACCGTTAGGTCCGGTCGCGGACAGCTCTGGGGTTGCGGTGCTCATCTCACTTTACTGGCCGAGGGAGCTCGCATACAGCTTCCGGTTCATGTAGCCAGCATGACTAAGCCGCTTCTGGCGAAACCAGAGCAGCGCACAGAAACATCATTTACCTTCCCACCGGAGCGGTACCTATTTATCTACTTGCATTTTGACGCACTTTTGAACTGCTAGGTTGGCAGGAGCAGGGACCGAGGATTCAAACCACTGACCTTCTGATCGGCAAGCCCTAGGCTCTGTGGTTTAACCCACAGCGTCCACCCGCGTCCAATGCTTAGCAGTTCATAAATGCTATGCAAGTAAGAAACAAGCTGTCCTAATGTCTTTTGCCATGTTGAATATGCAACTGGCAGCAAAACTATGTGTAAGGAACGAATTACAATGGCATGTAAGGAGCTTAGCAGAGAGTCTCTAAATCTCATTTCTTAGGAAATCCAACACGGGGTGTGTATATGGTGGGCACCCATACATTTTTTGCACAAGGATCTGATACTGTTTGGCATCTTGAGAATCTGAACATTTTCAAGCATGTTTGAGGAGAAAATCCTGAGAGAGTACGTGTGTGTGAAGAAAGAGAGATTGGGAAACGAGACGATGGCTCTAGTAAAGCAAAGGCTGTGGCTGTAGTGTTCCACACTGCCGGCACCTCTCTAAGATTTTGGACAGAACTGCTGAGACTTCTGGCCATAACATTGGTCTTTGTGAGTAGTGTGTCTAGCTGTAAACTCTACAGAATATGTGTGTGCATGATGAACATGCCCACAGAGGCTAATCTGTCCTCAAGCTCATATCTCATAGCTAGCACTGTAATATCTGCAGCATTCTCTTGGCACCAGGAAGCGGAGACTGGGAGAAACCAAACATAAAGATTTGTTCGTGGAGTCACTAATGACCATATTATAGCCATAGATAGTAACGGGCTTGTGCTAGGTTGTTAGGGAAACTAACAAGCTTTTGAAAGTGTCTGACCTGCTTGGATTCATTTTCATTTCTGCACGATTCTTCAGAGGCGTTTTGCCCTGAAATTGCCCACTAAAATACATTAAATTTTTTCTCAGTTATTAATTGGGCTTTTGATGAATGTGGTGGTGTGCTTCGTCCTGCTCAGAAGGCAGTCAAATCTGATCACAAAGCTTGTTCTGGCCACTCAGTCAATGCATCCAAGAACCTTCAGCTTGTGCGGGTCCTCGACTCCTCTCAGGGATGTCTGCAAGACCAGTAGGCTGGCTACATGCTGTCAGTGTTAGTTGTCACAGAGGGAAAGGTCTGGGCTTCTTCAAGACGCAAACTACGAGTCTGGCTATGTACAAAAGCAACCAAGCAGGAACCGCGACAATTGCTGAATGGACATCCCCACTGTCTTGCTTGGATGTAAGGGAGCATCCTCTTGACCCTTGCAGTTATGCTGGTGAAAAGCCCACCACATGGGCACAACATTGCTGCTGCTCATGCTGCTCTTAGAAGCTCTTAAACAGGGGTAGGCAAACTAAGGCCCAGGGGCCAGATCCAGCCCAATCGCCTTCTCAGTCCAGCCCACGGACGGCCCGGGAATCAGCGTGTTTCTACATGAATAGAATGTGTCCTTTTATTGAAAATGCATCTCTGGGTTATTTGGGGGCCTGCCTGGTGTTTTCACATGAGTAGAATGTGTGCTTTTATTTAAAATGCATCTCTGGGTTATTTGTGGGGCATAGGAATTCGTTCATTTTTATTTATTTTTCAAAATATAGTCTGGCCTCCCACAAGGTCTGAGGGACAGTGGACCGGCCCCCTGCTGAAAACGTTTGCTGACCCCTGCTCTTAAAGGAAAAGGAAACCTTGTAAAGGCACCATGTGATGAAAGCTTCAGTCACCTAGGCTACCATGTGCTATTTAGTTATTGCAGGAATAATTTGATCTGCTGCACTTCATGGCTTGTTAAAAACGAGCTTGTCGCTCTCATCCTAGCTTCAAAACACTTTTTGTGGTGGGGGGAGGGGAGACTTCATCATGATATTTTTTCTGAGTGCCCACATGGCCCAGTGGCACACTCTTCCTCATACTGAGTCTGCCGACCATTGCATTTAGTGTCTGATCCTTCTGTGATGTAACAGTTCCTCTAAGGTGCTGCCCTGGGGCACCTGAGGTCAGGGTGCTGAGGCAACCGGAAGGAAGGGATTTGGCAGAGGGTGTCTCTGGGAGACCTGGGAGTAAAGCAGATTAAATGTGATTTAGGCATGCCCAAGGAGGTAGCTTTCCTCCAGAAATCCAGGTCTTTAATGACCTCAGCAGCCCTTAGCCTAATTTGCTTGCTGCTCAAGTGCATGCTTTCATTTCAGCCTCTTGGCTGCTGTTTGCTGGTCATTGCTAACATTGGTTCCTTTATGTAAGGGGGGCGGGCGTGGAATTACAGCTTGTGCAACATTTCTTGGAGTGGATTATCCCTCAAGACATGGGGGTGTCTTCCTTGAGACCGCAGATACTTCTGTTAAGGAATTACCTGTGTGGGGTGATTACCACAGAGTAACAAACATGCTTTAAATTCAGATGCGAATGTAACAGTCATGTACCAGTAGATGCTGTTTTCAAGCAGCAGCACTCTGAAGGACAAATGTTCCCACTAAATGTAAGAAGGGAAAATAAAAAAATAAATGCAACCCTCATAAACTGAGTTTACCGTGACAAGATGCTTAGGGACCGCCAGCTAGTTTTGTTCTGGGTCCCCTTTCTAATTTCCTTTCTTCTCTTCACCCTGATTGTTTTCAGCCATTTTGGGAAGGGGGTACCGGTACAAAATACTTCAAAAATATCAGGCAGACTTCTGTGGCACCTGCCATTCTAGGTTTGTTTTGCACAGTTCATGAGATTTGGTTATTTGTACACGTTTTAAGGAAAGTGAGATGCAAGCAAGGACTCCACACAAGACTGCTCTGAAGCTATTGGGTCAATAATATTTACAAGATAGCAAATTACGCATGACCAGTCCACATAATTAAGCAACAGTTCTTCTAACAAAAACTGTTCGTACAAAACTTCCTTAGAAGTTATACGTTACTGCCTGTATTGAAGTATCATCCTGACAGGTTTGTGCAGAGGTCATAAGACAGCATTCTGCTGTTATCTTGCACTTTCCGGTGCAATGCCCCATCCCTTTTCTTATCTGCCTTTTTGTGGTTAAAAAAATGACAGAGTGGTTGCACTCGAAGGTGTCGGATGGCAACCAAATCTGGAGGAAATAAATAGCCCATCTGGAAATGCTGCCACGTTAAAATAATATTTACATTGGGGGTTGTGGTTTGCAGTCTGCTGCTTTTTGTGCCCTCAATTTGGCTGAAGAGATCCTGTTGCCAGGAGCTGCGAAATTGCAAGTGATGTCCTTTCAGGAAGGGCACAGCTGTAATGCAAGAGGTACAGCATAGTTATGAATCCGACCCAGTATGCTTATCAAAGCCAAAGCAACGTATTTTTCGCTCCATAAGATGCAACTGACCATAAGAGGCACCTAGTTTCTAGAGGAGGAAAACAATAAAAAAAAAATCTGAATGAAACAGTGAGTGTATGATTTTTGTGGTTCATGCTGTGGCCACAGACATGATATGTGATTTGACGGTGAGTTTGGGGTAGCCCAATGCAAAAATCCTGAAAATCCATGTGGATCCGTGCTTTGTAACCATGTTTTTGCACCATTGCAGCCCCATGAAACAGTGGATGCGTGATTTTTTTGGTGCAGGCGGTAGCTATGGACATGCTATGTGATCTGATGGTGAATTTGGGGTGACCCAACGCAAAAATCCTGAGGATCCATTTGCTTTTATCTCCCCCTTCCCAGGCAGCCTCCTTTATTGCTAGAGTCCCTTATCTTCCTCCCGGTCGCTTGCCAATCAGCTGCTCAGTGGCTTTGTTTCAACACCCCCTTCCCTCTTTCTAAAAAAAAAAAAAGCATGATCTGCTTTTTGCCCCTGGGCAATTTGGCTCCAGGGCCCACGCATTCGTTCCATAAGACGCACAGACATTTTCCCTTACTTATTAGGAGGGGGAAAGTGTGCCTTATGTGGCGAAAAATACGTAAAGCTGCGTTAAGGACTGGCTGAATTTCCAGGATTGCCTGGAAATGAGTTGGAATCAGGCAGGTTTAGGATGTTGTGGTAGCTGCTGCAGCAGCAGAGATTGTGCCACATTATGCTGTTGTTTGGAGATGCAAATTAGTAGCACTGGGCTGCCAAAAATGAAGGACTTGTCTGTGACTGAATCTTTGGTGCAGTACAAGAATTAAGTTAGGCAATTGTTTTTTATTGGATCTATGGTGTGTGTGTGTGTGTGTGTGTGTGTGCGCGCGCGCACACACACACACACAAAGCTTTCAATTTCCAAAGGGTAATTCTTCCAGTAGAATGGAAGGTAAAGCAAATTCTGAATTGGCATACAAAACAGCACAAATATAGGGCATTACTCATGGGTGCTTAGTATTTCTACCTCTGGCTACAGAAAGGCTACAAGCAGCCCTGCTGGGTAAAGAACAAAGGATAGATTTATGTATTAAAGGCAGGCTCAGAAGATGCATCCACTTTTTCTTAACCCCTGCCCAGACTCCTGTGACCATCTCATACTATGCAATAAAAGGAAAGGCTTTTTTGTTTATAGATGATGGATGCTGCTTGGTTTGGCCTCTTTCCAGCCACAAAGCTTTCCCACCAGAGGAGGACAGTAGCACAGTGGGGCAGAGGCTTTGAAGTTAAAAGTAGCTAGAGCTATCCTGGCCTGCGGCAATCCCTGGCCAATGGAATAGGCTGGCCATACTGCAAAAAGAATAACAAGGTTTCTTTCCCTTTAGGAGCTTTGAAAGAGCGCAACAACCAACGGGTACCGTTTTTCCTGCTGTAGCAACACTGAATAACTTTTACCTGCCGTAGAACACCTTAAAGGGACAGAAGCCCTGTTGTGGATAGAACACTAAGGGTGCATTTTTTGCCAAAAAAAAAAAAAAATAGAAGGCATTTTCCTCTCATTAGGGCTACATTAGAGGGCTGAGCTAATGGCATGACTTACCTGAAATGTTTGCATTGAACATTTACTTGGCATCCCTGAAAGCGTAATCATTCTACCGTCTTCCATCCCTGTTTTAGGCCAGAGGGGAAAACCCTCTCTCGTTACACAGTCTGGTCTACATAGCAGCCACCTGACGTCCACTTAGGACTGGTGGAAGCTTCTTTTTCCAACAGAAATGTGGCCAATAGTTGGCATCTCCTTAGCTACATACCTTCTCTCTCGTTGAAGATTTGGCACACAGCCAGTCTTTCAAAATGGATATATGACTTTCCGATCTATATGGTACTCCTCTCCCCATTCTACATACGGAAACTGTTAAAGGCTCTTCTTGCAGAAGGTCGCAAGCTGACATCTCTAGGTAGAACTGGGAGAGACCTTGGTCTGAAACTCTGGAGAGCAGCTGCCAGTCAGTGCAGACAATACTGACTGAAGTGGACCCAAGAGTTTGACTCAGCATAAGGCAGCTTGCTATGTTCCTAATATGCTCTACACCTTTGACAAAACTGGGAAAACCATTTCGAAGGGTAAGGATTACAATGTGATGGCCTCCTTTGCTGAGCTCTGGATTAGTAGAGGTAGCTTAGAAAAAGGTATCAAAGATAGACTGATCATTAAAATCTCCTAATTTAAGTGTTTGTCAGTACATGGGGGACAACCCCCCGCTGTGTTGAAAAGCATTACATAATTCTGCAAGCCATTCAGGGGAGCTCTGTGGCTTGTATTCCTTCAAATTTCCATTCACAGTATAGTGGAACCTCAGTTTTCGAACTTAATCTGTTCCGGAAAACCATTCGACTTCCGAAACATATGAAAACCGAAGCATGCATTTCCAGAAGCAATTACGTCTGGAAAACTCAATGCGGAAACCACATGGCATGTTTGGCTTCCAAAAAGCATTAAAAAATAGAAGCATTTACTTCCAGATTTTCAGCATTCGAAAGCTGAAACGTTCAACTTCTGAGACGCTCAAAAACCAAGGTACCACTGTACCATTGTGCCTTTACACATATAAACATCACTATTCTTGAGACTCGGTCTATCTCATCCCAGCATCCAGAAACATCCGTTTTCCATATACGCTCCTCCTTAGGTTGGACCAGACCCCATACAATAGCAACATTGTCTCTTGTTCATCAAAGCTGAGCTCCACATAGCTAAAAACTGTCTCTTTCCACTGTCTGGTCAGCATCGCAGCCCCCCGGTACCAAAGCTACACCCTCCCCTTCCGGCCTGCCGGCTCCATCCACGTTCCTGTTCTCTGCAATGTGGTTCACTGCATCACCCCCTGCATTGTTAATGTTGCGGGAGAGGTGGTGATTGTCTCCAGGGTGGTCCTCTGCTTCCGGGACATCTGATTCTGCTTCCTCTGTTTCACTGCCACCTCCGCCTGCAGGAGGGTTCTCTGGCTGAGAGTTCTTCTTTTCCTTCCTGCTCAGGCAGCAGTAAGAAGCCACAGCCAGGAACAGAGACGACAACACAACCTCTGAGCCAGCCAGGTAGAAGATAACCTCGTATTTCTTGAGCGCATCCACCAATCGTCCTGGGATTTTTTAAAAAGAGAAACAGAGAGAGCATAGCATATCTTTATTATAGCAACCTCCCACAATTTCATGTTGATGCCATATGAAAGCACTTCCTCAGAAACTGGAATCTGTGCTGCTTGAAAGCTCACAAAATGTAGACATCAAGGCAGAAAATGGTACCCACAGTCAGTATATTTTTCCCCTCTCCTTAGTTCCATGCATTCCCCTGCCTGGTCACTGAAGCAGCAGAGGTGGTAGGATACAACTATGGAAGGAACAGGATGAGCACGTTGTTTCTTTAAGGCAGGGGTAGCTGACTTGTGGCTTCCCAATGGCCCACGATGATGGAAGCTGCCATCCAACATCTCAAGGGCCACATGTTATCCACCCCAACTTGGTTTGGAGGTGAATCTGGGCTGGCCTGTACGCACACAGCTCACAAGCCTCACTTCTAAGTCTTACTCCCCCAAGTTTCTAGTGCTTAACTCTGTTCTCATTGCTGCTTCAGGGTTCAGTTAATGGTGATGTTAGGTAGCCCATAGGGCTAGCAGGAAGAGGGACTGTGTGCTTGTGGAAGAAAAGCAACAAAGGGAGAGTGATGCTGAGGGTTGCAAAGGTAGGGATCAGGGCCCTTGGGCCACCCTGGAACAACACACTTGGCAATAAATATGCTTTGCCACCACGTAGTATATTAAATGAACCAATGGGGACTTCATAGTACTTTAAGATATATGTGTGTAAGAGGTGGAGGGGAGTCAGAATGAAAAAGGGTTTAGAGAAAAATAAGATGGCTGTGTCACTTACTCCCAACACTGTCAGTCATCCCTATTTAAGCCAGCCAAGAAACACACAGAAACTGGGAGGGCAGGCAGGCAGGAATGTGTGCTTTCCATAGTAAGTTGCCTGTTCTTCTTCAGAGAGCCCATGTGCATAGTAAAATGTCAAGTGGGATCTACCTGCAAACTGGAGATGTCCTATCCTGTGAAATAAACCAGTATTCTGGCATGATAAGAAGCCACCATGTTAGATCAGGTTGGCTGGAGAGAGAACAGAATCCCTAAGGTATTTGCAAGCTATTTCAGCAGGAATATTGGCATTTCCAGGAGAAACACATGGTTAAGGTGTTGCGGCACCTTCACGTGGCCAAATCTCCTAAGAAGCCACACACCCCTGACCTGACAGCCAGTGTGATGGTTACAGGGTCAGTCTAGGATCAGGGAAACCTGAGTTCAAATCTCTACTCAGCTGTGAAGTCCACTAGGTGGTCTTGGGCTAGCCCTTATTTCAGCCTAACCCACCTTAAAGGATTGTTGTGCAAATAAAATGGGAGACGATCAGGCATGAACTCCCTAGAAGAAGTGAGCTAAAAATTTAATAAAAACTAAACCCCCAAACCCTGGCTCCTAACCACAAATATACTGAGACTCATCAGTGGGATGGGATAGCTTTCTGCACATGTTCAAATGCACCCTGCTCTTTATTATTACTTTTATGAAGTTTTTGTCTTTTGGGGTTGTGCTCTTTCATGGAAGCCCCACCCGCAATTAAGCTCTGCAGAAATGAGTGCAGGTAACAGGTGCCCAAGACTTACCTGCAGTGGGTGGTCCGATGAGCACAGCAAAGGCCTCAATGAGCAGCACAAGCCCGATGGCGCTGGAGAACTTCTGGGACCCAATGATGGCCATGAGGACTTCAAACTGCAGGGCCCCCACCATCCCGTAGGAGATGCCAAAGAAAATGCAGAAAATGACAAGGGCCGTGTAATCGGTGGCCCTGGCGCTGAAGATATCTGTCAGGCCATTGAAGAGCATAGCGAAGCTGAACAAGTAGGTCACGTGGGGCCGCACCCGCTTCAGCCCAGCAAGCACCCCGCAGGATGGGCGGGCAAAGATGTCTATGAAACCAATGATGGACAGGAGGAAAGCGGCCTCTTTGTCTGGCACTCCTGAGTCCTTGGCATAGTTGACTAGCAATATGGTGGGCACAAAGAGACCTAAGACCATGATGAACTTGGCAATGGCGTAAATGACGAAACCCCGGTTTTTAAAGATGGAAAAATCCAACAGCTTCTTCCCTTTCTTGGGCTTCTTCTTCTTGGCTTTGTTTGACTTCTTGGCGCTGTCCGTGGTGCTGACAGCCTCTTCAGCCCTTCCTCCCATGGGCAGCATTTCTTTGGCTTCATATTTGTCCTGGGCTTCCTCTCCTTTCTTCTTCCTGTTCAGTTCCAGGGGTCTCATGACTGCTCCGCAGGTGCAGCAGTTAAGCAGGAGCCCCCCCATGATGAGGAATCCCCCTCGCCAGCCAAACTTCTCCAGCAAGACTTGGCCCAGTGGAGAGAGGGCTGAAAGGAAGACGGGACTCCCGGCCGCAGCGAGCCCATTGGCTAGAGGTCTGCGCTTGTCAAAGTAGGAACCCTAACATGATCAGAGAAGGCTGAAAGTTCAGAGCCATGCCTAAACCTGTGGGGTATAAAGGGATTTGTGAGTAATAGGTGAGAAAATAGGATTGTGGCTTTAAGAGATGTACAGTGGTACCTCGGGTTACAGACGCTTCAGGTTACGAGATTTCGGGTTACGCACTGCGCCAAACCCAGAAGTACTGGAACAGGTTACTTCCGGGTTTCGGCACTCATGCATGCGAAGAGGCACTAAATTGTGCTTTGCGCATGCGCAGAAGCACCAGATCTCGACCTGCACATGCGCAGACGTGGCACTGCGGGTTGCGAATGGTGCGGGTTGCGAACGTGCTTCTAGCACGGATCACGTTCGTAACCCAAGGTTACACTGTATAGGTTTCAAGATCCTGGTTTATCAACTGAGGTCCCCATTGCACAGCCAGTTCCTGAATATAGAATTTATCCATGCAATTTATAATACTTCAGAGTTATTTCAGACTATTGTTTGAAGTTATATGTCATGAAGACAGTACCTCTTGATTGGGCTCCACTCAATCACAGAATATGCAAAGCAAACATAGAAGCCTAGCTGATATCACCAATGATGCTCACAAGGAGCCCAAAGGAGCCCAAGAGGCGCATTTAGCATCACGTGTGTGAAAATGCTGCGAGCATCATGTTCTTTCCTCCCTTTTGCACTTTCACACCACTCTGACAATTTCTCATGCCACCTCTCACTTCCAGATGCATTCCCACGTGGCACTGCTTTCCACCCAGCCCCCTTGCCCAACGCTAACCTGTCAGTACACCAGCTGTCAGGTACAGCTCAATAATGTTGGTGGTGAAGGAGGCTAGAATCATCCCAGAGGAAGCCAGGAGCCCCCCAACAAGCATCACAGGCCGGCACCCAAACTGGTTCACCAAAATGCTGCTCACAGGCCCTGCAGAGAATCAAAGAAACACGAAAGGGAGGAAAGGCCTGGGTTAAATAAAAAGGGGAGGAAAAAGCGAAGCAACGTGTGATTTCCTGTCACCATGTGATTGGCTGCATTATTATGAATAGAAGAAACATCTGCCATCCTTACGAATAAGGGTGGAGGAACTTTTTTTCCTGTTGAAGGTGACATTCCCTTGTGAGTAATCTGTTGTGAGCCACATGCCAGTGCTGGGCAGGGGCAGATCAAATGCTGGTGGAGTTTTCAGCACTGCAGGATTATCTAGCTCGCTCTCTAGGCCACTACATAGGGAGGGACGCAGGTGGAGCTGTGGTCTAACCACTGAGCTTCTTGGGCTTGCCAATCAGAAGGTTGGCGGGGTGAGCGCCCGTTGTTCTGTCCCAACTCCTGCCTACCTAGCAGTTCGAAAGCACACCAGCGCAAGTAGATAAATAGGTACTACTGTGGTGGGAAGGTAAACGGCGTTTCCGTGCGCTCTGGTTTCCGTCACAGTGTCCTGTTGCACCAGAAGCAGTTTAGTCATGTTGGCCACATGACCCGGAAAGCTGCCTGTGGACAAATGCCAGCTCCCTCAGCCTGAAAGTGAGATGAGTGCCACACCCCATAGTTGCCTTTGACTGGACTTAACCGTCCAAGTGTCCTTTAACTTTTTTGCCTTTATCTAGGCCACCACAGCTCTCTCCCTGCTTTCTTCTCTCTTTCCATCTCTCCATCCATTTCAGGTTTCTCCCTCAGTTCCTCCTCCATAAACACAGCTCCAAAGTGATTTAAGAAGAGTTTGAATTTGATATCCCACTATATCACTACCCGAAGGAGTCTCAAAGCGGCTAACATTCTTCCTTTCCCTTCTTCCCCCACAACAAACACTCTGTGAGGTGAGTGGGGCTGAGAGACTTCAAAGAAGTGTGACTAGCCCAAGGTCACCCAGCAGCTGCATGTGGAGGAGCGGAGACACGAACCCGGTTCACCAGAATACGAGTCTATCACTCTTAACCACTACTTAACCACTGGCTTTGCAGGGAGATTGCCCCAACCATCTCAGCTCCTTCCGCTTCCTTTTTCTCCTCCCTCTGGGGTCTCCCACTGCCAACACACACACACAGTGTGCTGAAAGACTCCTAGGCTCGTCATGCGGCTGCTGCATCTCCTTCTCCTCTCTACATACAGTATACTGAAGAGAAAGTGATTCCCAGAGGGGTGGTCCAGGAGTAGGCAAGAGTAGGCACACAACATCCACAGGGCCATATGCCATAGGTCCTGTGGTACCAATCAGGGTGGGCAGAATCTGTCAGAGGAGGAGGAAGAAGATAGTCCCAATGATGGAGATGGGGGAAGCCTGAGTAGCAAGTTGGGAGAGGTCTTAGCTCTGGGATTGCTGGACATCATATAAGGGGGTAGAGAACCATGTGGGCCAGTAAGGTTTTCATGATAGTTGGAGAGACTGGCGTCTAGTCATTGGGGCAGCTGAACTAGAGGTGGAAGGGAACTGGTCAGACAGACTTAATCTTGTTGTTGAGGATGCACTGTCATCTGCACCAGCACAAACAGACCCAGCCCACTCCCCAAATCGCACCGCCGCAAGCTCAGTCATCTTGCTTGGGAGAAGAACTGCATGAATGTCTGGAAGATGCTCTCTGGCACTGTTATACTTCATAGGCAAACAGGAAAGTAGCCTTGCACCTCAGAATTCTGACTGCTGGCTATTCGTCTGCAAGCCTTTCGTTTTCTGCCCCAGCCATTGGCATTGCAATGTGCAAAGCAATGTCAAAGAATGCTTGCCAGCATTCAACCGCTGCAACACAATAAAGTTTACTCAATTAGTTAGTTGCTTTCCCGCCCCCGCCCCCAAATCTGGGGGCCAGAAATGCTGTGGACTGCAGGGGTCTGGGGCACCAGGGCAGCTGAAGTTATAGGAATCCAGGAGGGGAGCTGGGTGAAAGCTCACTCTGCTCAGAATAGTGGCAGACTGTTGGTGGGAAGGTGGTTAAGGAGGCCACTCACAATAAAACAGTGAGATCCTTGGCTAGATCTTTGCTTTCATGGCTGTGTACATTTTATCAGCACAGACACGGAAGTGTTTCACAGGACAAAGTTGTGGGATCCTTACCTGTTCCATACAACATAGCCAGCATGATAGATGAGATCCAAGCTGTGTCACTATAGCCCACATGGAAGTCATGCATCAGCTCCTTGAAATATATGCTCACTGCCTTTGGAAAGGCATAGGAAAAGCCAGTGATGACAAAGCAACCAAACAGTACTATCCAGCCCCAGCCACCATCTGGAGGCTTTGCTCTTTCTGGCAGGTGGCCGTCCTCAGCATGGCCCTTCCCCATTGGTCAACCAGGGGAGGAACCCAAAGGCAAGCGAGATGAGTGGTGCTGCAGGAACAGAAGAGAACAGAGGATGCAGATACAGACAAGCAGCTCCCATTGTCTCCCTTCAGCCTCATTTCTGTTCATGTGCTTCCCCTCCCTCTTTAAATCTGAAGTAGGGAAATAACTATGTCTGAAGGCAAACTCATGCAAGGGACTAACAGTGCTGCTCAACAAGGCAATAGCTGCAGTAAATAAATACTGCAGCATCAAAATGCAGCGTAAAGCAATGGGAACTAAGGACGATTAATTAAGAGTAAAATGCAACTGAAACACAATTTAAAATTCAGTTCAGATGTAAGAGGCCCAGTTTGTGAAACAAGTTGCTTGAAAGGCCTGGGTGAGTAAAAGGATACTTCCTCTTTCTCTGAAAATCCATAAAGATGGCACCAGCTGAACCTCTCTGAGAAGGCTATACCATAACTGGGGTACCACTACTGAAAGGGGCCTCTTCCTGTTCCTTACCTACTTGGCTTCATTTGCAGGATCACTCAGAACAGGGCCTCTGAAGCAGATCTTAATATTCAGTCCATATATAAGGGGGAAGTCACTCTTTCAGGGAATCTGGTCTCAAGCCACTTAGGTTTAAATCTCAATTCAACATCAATAATACAACCAAAAAACCAATGAATTGTTGTATAACATATAGGACCTCTTCGATTTTTTGAGGGAGCTGGGTATGCTTAGGGAGACTGGGAGAAAAGGCAACTGAGAGGAGATATGATAGCCATCTTCAAATATCTCAAACCTATTTCCTCCTGCTCTGGAGGGTAGGGCTTGATCCAGTGGATTCAATTAACAAGAAAGGAGATTCTGACTAAACATCAGAAGGAACTTTCTGATGGTAAGAGCTGTTCAACAGTGGAATGGACTTCCTCAGAAGGTGGTGGACTCTCCTTCATTAGAAGTTTTTAAGCAGAGGTTAGATGGCCATCTGTCATGGATACTTTAGTTGAGATTCCTGCATTGTAGGGGTAGGACTAGATGGTCCTCAGGGTCCCTTCCCACTCTACATTTCTATGATTCTCTAATACTTTCAAGGAAACAGCAAGAAGCAAAGAACTGGCATTTCTGGCACAGCTACTTCCTCTGGACAATCAGGAGACATAGCAACATATCTCCAGCTTGGAGCCAGAATATCTAGGCTCTGACACTTTCTCTTTCCCCCTTGAGTTTACAGGCTTGTTTACTCCCCTCTGGTCCTTGGATTTCCTCTCCCACTCTTTGTCTAGCTTTAAATGTTAAAGTACCATGATCTGTGGTGTGATTAAAAACCATTAATACCATCTTTTGCTGAAGGCTCTGCATGCTGCTGTAATGCAGAAAACAATGGCCCCTTCTTCTGAAAGACCTTAAACGCAGACAAATAGGCCAAAAGTTGTGACCAAGAGCACAAATTAAGCAATTATTGAGTGAGTGCATGCCAGACAGATTATTTGCCTGTGTGCAATTGCTATGGTTGAGTACAAAAGTGTGGGTGTAAACAGGGGATTGGAAGGGGGCAGTGGAGGTGTCTCAAAGCCTTAAGCTGGTCAAGAATGTCTATGTAAGTTTGCTACCCCCTCCGCAAGTTTTCCAGTGCAACAACACATGACCTTTGTGATACTGAGCATGCTGGCAATGGGGAGGTTATTATAGCATTAGCATCAGGAGGCCATGCTGCCAGATCCTGTGGCGCTTCAGTGGCTGTGGCAACACCAACAGTGTCTCGCAGTACCGTAACTACCGTGGTACCTTATCTGTACCCAAGAGGGAGATGTGTACAGCTTATGCCCATTGCAGGGGAACTCCAGGTACTTCCCAGGCACTGGGTTGCACCAGCACCTGTGGGATCAGCACTGGGCAAGTGCTCTTACGCTGCGTTATCTCTGGGGTTGTAGGAAGGCATATTTCCACTTCACTCTCTATTTATCGCATGCAGCTGTGCTTCCATTCTGCTGCAGTTCGTCTTCCACCTATCACAACATTATTCAGCTCACTGTCCACTATGGTGAAATTACGTAACTCACGTAATTTATGTAATTAATTACATTTTTTGTAATTACATTAGCATTGCGTTATTCCACCCCATTCATTTCAGTGCAAAGGAAACAGAATGCGAATGGAGTGGCAGGGAAACCTGACATCTGCAGACTGAAAGCACCAGCAGCAGCCAATGCTGATCATATTCCTGGGATTTATTTCCATTCTGGACATGGGACAAATAGTAAGTAAGCATGGGCAATTTCTGCTCTCGTTTCCATTTTTCGCTAGAAATGTCTGGCATCCCAAGTTGTCTCTGGAGGAGAGCCAACACAGTAATACTGATAGAAGCTGCTGCACTGGGACTGGGACTTTCAATCCCGGTTTCTGCACTAGATGTCAATGTAATGCTCAGGGCCAGTCCTGCCATGAGGCAGAGTGAGGCAGCCACCTCAGGCGGCAAATATTAATGAGCAGGAAAGAACAGTGCGTGCCTTGGGGCATGCCCTGCACTCTCTAAGCTACAGGTGCCATCTTGTCTTTTGCTTCAGGCAGCCAAATGTATTGAGCCAGCCCGGAGGACACTTGTGCATTTTTGCTGACATGCAAATGATTCAGTAGGGTGGATCCTTTTGCAATGATGTTTTGTAGACCATATTCATGGCAGTTAATACATTATAGTTGCCACACACAAAATTTTCAGTGGCACAATAAAAAAGCACTTGAGCTGCAAAGTTATCTGCTCCACACAAATAACTCACTGTATTGTGAGCCATCATTTAGAATGGCCTTTGCGTGGGATCTATAACATGCAAACCAGGGGTGGGGAAACTCTGGCCCTCCAGATGTTCCTGGACTCCAACTCCCATCATCTATCAACACTGACTTGCTGGCTGGGGCTGATGGGAGGTGGAGTCCAACAACATCTGGAGGGCCAAAGGTTCCCCAGACCTGATATAAACCTGCCTTAGGAGCTTGTTTGCCCCCCTTTCTCTCAGTTCTGCTAGCCTTCATGGATACAGAGACAGGCTTCCACTTTACTTGTAAATTGCCTCAGTCTGAAGGTTCCAGGAATATAAAAATAAGCAACACCTAACACCTGGTCAGCAGACTGAACTGGCACAAAAATCACCAGGTAACAGTCTTCCCCGTTTTGTATTTCTACTTAAATTATGGTAATTATTTCCATATATGCATATATACATATAGATCAGCACATGCCATTTTTCATGCAGATTGGTGTCCTCTTTCATCATCATCATCTTCTTCTTCTTCTTGGTGATGTGTCTCCTGTTTTTTTGGCCACTCTGTCTTAGCCAGAGGCCTATATGTACATATCTATACAGAGCATGTACACGTACACAGAGTCTGGCATAAAAATAATCAGACTCCAGGGGAGCAGAGATTTCCCTTCAGGTCCAGTAATCAATATGGCTCATATGCACTCTTTTTAAAACAAGACAACATAACCCAAGACACAAGGTTCCGCAAAATAAGGGACTCAACACAAACTCCAAATTTCGTTGCAAGACCCGGGAGGCCAGTTCCTGGGATCCCCAAACCTAAAACAGCAGAGACTCTCCACCTGAATGCACAAGCAGCACAAAGGAAAGCATCCAGGGCAAATTAACTTAGTCTTTAAGAGCATCCCTTGCTCAGTAAGTTATGACACCAGTATTCATCCTGAATTGAAACCAGTTGAGCATCCTCCTTGGGTCACTAATTCCCAACGCATAATGCTAACACCTGACATACAAAATAGCATGCTCCATATTGAAATACAGACCTTGGGTGAGGCTGTGCCTTCCCTTTCACTTTTTGACTTCCAAGGAGAAGGATCCAAGGAGTGCTTCCTGGTGCCTAGGGCTAGTTTGAAGAAGGAGGGGACAACCTTTCAGAACTCACTCCATGACAGGCATCCAATGAGAACCCCTGGAAGAAGCCTTCTGATTTCTTGCATCCTTCTTTCCTAGCCAGCAAAAACCTCAGCTCTCAAAGATCCTGAAAGCCTGGTGCAGATGGGGTCTTCTTGTGGTGGTCAATAGCTGCTTCCAGACCCTCCTCCAGAGTCCCCTTGGCTCTGCGAAGCCTGCAGCTCAAGCACCAAAGTGTTTACCGCATGGATGTGGGTCAGCAGCTGCTTATGTTTTAAAGTCGCTAAAGAATCATAGGTTGCTGATCTAGCAGAAAGAAACCACTTCTCCACTTTTAAGAGGCTTTCCCAGCCAATGGGAAGGAGCAGAGCCGGCATGCCTGGGCCACAATCCCCCTGTAATCCAGCTTCTCCAAAGTGAGAGGTAGCTGGGAGAGGGCAAGAGTCTTTAAGCCTCCTCCCTCTCTGCTCTTGAGGTTTTCCTGCAGGGTTTGAGGAGGGGAGGGCATTGGTTCTGGCTCCCGAGACCAGGGCAGCCTTATGGGACATAATCAAGCTGCAGGAATGATGCTGGCAGGATGCCACCATAGGGCATGACACTGACAAGACACAATCTCAGAGCAGGGAACAGGCAGAGGTCAAGATGAACATCCCAGGGAGCCTCATGCTTCTACATTGTCCTATAAGAAGCAGTCATGTTCAGGGTCAGATTCACCATAGCACTAACATCTAGAGACAACTGTCCCATGCATTCCCTAACCATGCCAATGGTAAGTAAAGCAACAGCTCCATCTGCAGACAATTTAAACCATGACTTCATGTTTACTATGATGGCTACATTAAAATTCCATGGTGTTTGACAGTGTGGTGTAGTGGTTAAGAGCAGTAGACTCGTATTCTGGTGAACCGGGTTCGATTCCCCGCTCCTCCACATGCAGCTGCTGGGTGACCTTGGGTCAGTCACACTTCTTTGAAGTCTCTCAGCCCCACTCACCTCACAGAGTGTTTGTTGTGGGGGAGGAAGGGAAAGGAGAATGTTAGCCGCTTTGAGACTCCTTCGGGTAGTGATAAAGCGGGATATCAAATCCAAACTCTTCTTCTTCTTCTTCTTTTAAAAATCTCCCTATCACAAATTACAGGCACTTTATAGGCAAAAATCACTGTGTCTTTTGAAAATGGTCGCTGTTCTTTTCCCATCTCCACAGCAAGCCCCATGGTGCTATAGTATTGTAGCGTCTTCGAGTGAGAGCCCTCTCTGAAAATACTAGTTTGTGTGCATTCATTACAGTTTCCCCATTTTGTGCTTTTTTTTTCTTTCTGCTGTATAGCAAGAAGTAATTAAGATATCTTTATATGTAAGTATTTGATGCTGCTAGAGACGCGGGTGGCACTGTGGGTAAAAGCCTCAGCGCCTAAGGCTTGCCGATCGAAAGGTCAGCGGTTCGAATCCCCGTGGCGGGGTGCGCTCCCGTTGCTCGGTCCCAGCGCCTGCCAACCTAGCAGTTCGAAAGCACCCCCAGGTGCAAGTAGATAAATAGGGACCGCTTACCAGCGGGAAGGTAAACGGCGTTTCCGTGTGCGGCTCTGGCTAGCCAGATGCAGCTTTGTCACGCTGGCCACGTGACCCGGAAGTGTCTCCGGAGAGCGCTGGCCCCCGGCCGCTTGAGTGAGATGGGCGCACAACCCTAGAGTCTGTCAAGACTGGCCCGTACGGGCAGGGGTACCTTTACCTTTTATTTGATGCTGCAATCTGCTCAAAAGTAAGTCCCACCAACTTCAAAATATATTGTGCACGGAATGCGACTGTTAACCCGTTGCAGGAGGGTTGTTGTTGTTGTTTTGCAAGATCAAGGTGTGGAAAAATGGCAGCCCTGAAAAGCACACCATGGGAGGGTGGAGAGATTCTGTTGGCACAATATTTCTGAGGGCAAAAGCAGTGGGGGTGAGGTTAGGCCACCGTAGGGGGGAAAAAACCCAAGCTGGCACTCATGTCACCAATGAGCCCAGGTAGGTTTTAAGACCTACCCTCACAAGTCCCAGAAGTGAAAGGCCTTGGTTTCTAATCCTCGTAAGCTTCTTAACTTCTTTCCCTTCCTCACCCGCTTCCCTATCTATACATTCCTGTCGGGGGGGGGGGAGGAGTAAGAGCACAGGTAGGGAAGGGAGCGTGTAGGGGCTTTCAGAGCTCACAGATGGGGTTTAATTTCTATTAATAAGGCTAATCGGCTAAAGGAGCCACAGCAGGTCTCCCCCTGCTCCCCCTTCCATTCCCGGCCGCGAGGGCTCAGGCAACAATGGGGGGCTTGTGCAGAGGCCCACTTGAGGCCTTGAGATGCAGGCGTCTACGAGGGAAAGAAAACAAGCTCCCTTCTCACTCACTCCTCTTTACAGCAGAGAACCCAGGCCTGGCCACCACCACCGGGGAGATTTTCATTAAACCAGGTTTAAAAGGTGACTGACAGGCGCTACACCTGGCGCCACTGAAGGAGAAACCAAACTCCACGCAAGGGGGGGGCAGGGTAGGTTTGTGTGGCGAGAGAGAAGGTGTGGCGTGTGCCAACCCAGCATAGTCTCTGTTTACTGTAGGGAAAAGGTAAACGTCACATCTAACAGCGGCCGGTTCACCAGCTCCAGCTGTTCCAAGAAAAGGACAGCCTTGCCGCTCTGACGCATGGCGCATAACCTTCCCAATGGATTACTGCAATGCATTCTTTGTGGGGCTGCCCTTGTAGATGGTTCAGACCCTGCAAGCTATGGTCAGCTCCTTACAGATCATACAGCATCAGTCCTGAATTACACTAGCTGCCAATTTACTACCAAGCCAAATTCAAGGAACTCTGGAGTCCTCTCCCATTATTATTATTATTATTATTATTATTATTATTATTATTATTATTATTATTATTATTATTCCACCCATGAAAAATATAGCTTGGATACTTTAAAAGCAGATTAGCCAAATTCATGAAGGCTAAGGGTATCAATGGATGACTGCCTTCAGTGCTGCCTGCAAGGGCTGCCAATCCAAACTGGTTCCTCACCTGGCAATTAGCCAGTTGGACGCTCAACCCTGCTGTGAAAAAATCAGCCAAAAATCAAGCCTGCCTGCTGAAGCCTAGTTCTTGAAGTTATGCTTGTTGACTTGCTAACTGGATAGATCAGTTGGTTAGAGCGTGGTGCTGATAAACAAAAGAGGTTTAAAGACTCTCTCAAGGCAAATCTAAAATAATGTAGTATAAACACCGACAATTGGGAAACACTGGCCTGCAGGTGCTCCAATTGGAGAACAGCCTTTACCAAAGGTGTCATGGGCTCTGAAGACGCTCGAACTCAGGACGAAAGGGAGAAACCTGCTAGGAGGAAGGCACGCTTGGCAAATCCACACCATGATCAACTCCCGCCTGGAAACCTATGTCGCCACTGTATGGATCCAGAATTGGCCTCCACAGTCACTTAGGGACTCACTGTTAAAACCATGTTCATGGAAGTCAATCTTACTCGGCTACGAGTGATCGCCAAAGAAGGAGGAGGAGGTGCTGATATCTCCAAGGTTGCAGGTTTTCCTGCATTGCAGGAGTTGCACTAGCCAGCCATGTGCACCATGCACCTTCCCCTGGGGAGGAGGTACCATTTGTTGTTCCACCTCAAGCAGCAAAATATCCTGGGCTGGCCTTGTGGACATTCCTTAGCAAAGGACCAGCTACAGGAACTGAGAGGGAAATGGGAAAGGACTGCTAGATTCTGCTGCCACCTGGTGGCAGTTAGACTGAACAACTAAAGGCATGTCAAAGGCACCAGGTTGCTTGTTTAGGTAACATAGGAAACTGCTTTATACTGAGTCTTACCATTGGTCCGTCTAGCTCAGCACAACATCCTTTGCTTATTTAGCAGATTGGGAAGAAAGAGAAATCTAGTATCTCTTTCTGCAAGAATATGTTATCATTTCAACATGCAGACATCAGAAACATTATTTCCGTGCGATCCAGTTTTTCATGTTGGTGACATTTTGTCCTGAGATCAGTTTCATCTCTGCCACCATCTGGTGAGCTTTTCCGCTCAGGCCTTCCATGGCAACAGAGTCTCTCTGCTGGACCTTGAAGCTGCCCTGTGAGGGAAGGGGGGTGGGTACCTGCACCAGGTAAAAGCAGAAGGGAGCTGTATCAGTCCAAGGAAGTGGAGCTGGTGAAGGAAAATATTGCTGTGAGCTTCAGCTGGTTTTTGTTCAAGGTAAACCTGCTGGGCAGGTCTGACGGGCTCATCCCTTTGTTATGTAAACAACGGGAAATCAATATTGCTTGGACATCTCACTGCTCAGAGAAGTGAGGTGCCACATAACAATATCCAGGCATATTTCTTGTTTATTTTGACAAGTCAGAATTTGATCTTATTATTACAAAATACAAAAAAATAATAATATTCTCTTCAATATTAAAATGTATTTTACATGTTAAGAGAGTCATCAGGGCAGCATGTTTGAATAAGGTGGTTTGCTGTCGTAGAAAGGCAGGTTTGTATCAGAAGATAGATTCTGAAGCAACAGGCAAACAATGAAATGCATAATACAGTCTCAAGGTCACAGCTGCAGCACACATTTAAAGCACATGGCTTTCCTCAATGAATCCTGGGAACTGTGGTTTGTTAAGAGTGGTGGGAATTGTAGCTCTTTGAGGGGGTAAACTACGGTTCCCAGGATTCTTTGGAGAGAAAGCAGTGTGATTTAAATGTAAACCCAACAACAATGCAAAACAATTGCTTTCCACAGAACCTTTGTATATTTTCCTCTTGTGATAAAAGCAATAAACACATGACAACATGAGTTGTTTAGCTTTTTTTACTTTTGCCCAAAGTTGTTGAGCAAGGTTGCAAAAAAAGGAAGTTTTGGAGCTATTTTTAAGGGAAATTGTCCAAAACATTGCCGGCATAGGTTGCCATATGTCTGGGTTTTCCCAGACATTTTTAGCGGTTTCCGCCCGGACACTGCTTCTGACTGCAATATTCTGGCTATGTCCAGGAAATTCCAGGCATATGGCAACCCTAGCAAAAATGCAAAGGTCCAGCTCAGAGGCTCCAGGGTCACTTACAGAGCTTATTTGTTTACTGCTCATTCATCCTGATTTATTCATACAGTCTTTGGGGAGGTTAGAAGACATCTACTGTTTATTGAGCATCCATTCTGATTTGTTTGCAGGGAGTTACATGACTTTGCATAAAGAGATTGTGATTCCAATTTTTCCAATAATTTCCTCATCACTTTCCTTACTGCAAAAAGCCTGCGGATTTTTAGAAGCAGGTTTGATGCGCTACGCAGGATCAACAAATCCACTTTAATTCAGTAACCTGAATTTGTCAATATGTGACTGATCTCACCCGCAAAATACCAACAGTCTGGCAGTAGCCCCAGTGGATTTCTTGGTGTCTTAATTTATCTGTTAGAACGGTT